CAAAAACTGAGCTTCCACATTTCAGTTTTTGGAGGGGATATACATACTCTAGTCTTATATACATACTCCTAGTCTATGTACCTTATTAAGTCCTTGGTTAATATGGCAAACCACAGTCTCAAAATACTTAATTCTCACATGGAACTATTATGCATCAAATGGACTAAGCGGTTACCATATCTTAATATAAAATTGTAAGGCATTAAGTTTTTGAATTCTTCTCTTATATATTCCTCACTCAATACATTTTTAATTAATGTGGCGAACTTCGCTAGTTACACTTCCCAATATAGTTATCACTTACCAGTGTGCCTATTGTAGAACTTGTGCACAAGAACTTGTTTTTCCTTTTTTTTTAATAATTACCCCTTTAAAATTTTTAATTTATTTTAAAATATTTGCCAATTTAAAAACTAAAAAAACATTGATTACATTTTTCCCCTTATCCTTATCTTTTTGTTTTTTCATTATGTGGAATAAGGGACACTAATGGAGTGAATCTGGGAGTGTAATATAAACTAATAAACTTTATGTGTTTAAAATTTTTGATTTTATTGTACAAACTTTTTTTACCACACTTACATAAAGATGAATGAATTTCACAAATTTTTTCTCTCTTCTCTCTTTACAATGAGAGTCACTTGAGAAAAAATTTATGCAGTAAAAACAGAAATATTTTTCCCAAACTTTATATGCAATTATTTTGAATATTCTCTTGTGAATATTTAATGACTTTTTTAATCATTGTGTTAAAATTTATACACAATTATTTTAAAACGGACGGAGTAGTTTATTTCAAATTATCTGTTATTTTATAAAACTGAGAAGGCATTAACTGTTTTATTCAAAAAACTTATCTAATGATATCTCTACTGAGTACGATAAGAGAATATTAATAACGTGAAAGAGGTGATTTAGTCGAGTATAATTCTATTTCTTTAAAATTAAGAGTAGTGCAAAATTTCAAATGACAATTATTTTGCAACAGAAAGCGTACTTACAAATTATCAATGCAAAAATTGCAAATTAAACATATTTTTCATATTTATGAATAAAAAAAGGGGAGTGGGCGTTATTTATCAAAAAATAAAGGCATTAATGTATTAAACGCTATGTTCAATGTAATTACCCTTAAAATATATATAAAAAATGGAGGATGGATTTTAAAAATGAGTTTAATATTTTTATTTTTATTGGGATAAAATTTCTCTATCATATTTATATAAAAATGAGTAGGTCTCACTAATATTCTCTCTCTTCTTTTTATAATGGGACTCGGTCAAACAAATTTTTTCTAAAACATTTTTTCTTTTATTAAATTTATTATTGACATCTGCATTTTTTTTATTTTTTTATTTTGTGTGCGGCACTTGGAAAGTTCAAACTTTGTCTCCAATCATTTACAACTTGTGTTAGTGTGATACATCAACTCAGAATCTCAGACTATAATCATGGTTCTCCAGCCAGTATGAACCTATAAAAATCTTTAACACAGCTCCCATCACTCGGAGTCATCACAGTGACTTGACAGAGAAAAAGATAAGCTACAATGACCAGTACTATACAGATGGTCCACGAATTGAGACTACTTATTGAGTTTCCTCTTATTTTTGGTGCAGACAGAATGGTTGGAACAGAAAAAAGAAAAGATGATTTGAAAGGGGGGAAAAAAAAGAGCAATAAATATAGATGTTGGTGGGTATTGGAGCAGAGAATCAAGCCCCTGTCTACTACTGAAGCTAAATTGAATTAGAAGTGCAAAGTTAAAGGCATATTTAATAGCATTATAGAGAAAATAGCAGGGAAATAATGTGTATGTGCAATAGCTTGGCTATCTTGAAACGGTACGAATATGTAATGTAGGTTTATTTTCCTTCACAAGTTTTGCATTTTTTTTTTGGAAATAATTATCTCATGCAACAGAGACAAAGTAGTGAGGTCCACGTTATTTTGTTTTTTTATAAATACTAGACCACACTAATTATTTTCTTGTCTCTAATTATCTCATGCAACATAAGATTAATAGATCCCTTTTTACGAGATTTTCTCTCAACGTTTAAATATGAGAATAACATTCGTTGGGAATGTTGTGCTTCTCCGTAAATACTAGGAAAAAGTTCACCAATGTCTCTGTGATTTGCTTTAGAATCATTTATGTTTTTGTGATTTTTTTTATTACATATGCCCATGTGATTTGCAAAAAGATATATATATTTTTTTTAAAGATACCCAACCCTAATTACCTCTTTGAGGCGAGTTGGCTCCCTCCGGTTCCCCACAAGCTTCGACTCTTTGAGCCGGCTATGGGACTAATCCGGAGTGCGAGGGTCAGTGATGGCTAAAGGTTCAGCCCCCTCCCCAAGAATGCATTCAATGGGAATCGAACACATATCCAACCCCACTATCTCAGCGCCAAGGAACCAACTGAGTTGCACCCATTGGGTAAAAAGTAAAAAAAAAAAAAGATATGTGATAAAACACAGGGGCGTATGTGATAAAAAAAAATCACATGGGCATAGGTGATTCTGAAACAAACCACGTGGGCATTAATATAACATTTTGACAATCGCATATTCTATATTAATTTTTAATGTGCTGTGCAGGGGAACCTTAAATTTAGGGGTGGAAAACACTCAATTTCTGTAAAACTCGTTAATAAAAGTTAGGAAAAAGTGTGTCATTTTAAAGGATGTAAAGTTATATCATTCTAAGAAAGAGAAAGAAATAGACAAAGGGAGAGAGAGTGGACAAAAAGAATGTGTGAATTCTACCTCTTTGTGATATAAGTCTCATTTTATTTTGTGGTAATGTATTTGGCTTACATATTTTTCACATTAAACAAATCATTAAGTTTTCTTAGTGAGACAAAAGGAAATAAAGATAAAATAAAATAAATTGAATGTATGCATTCAGGCTTGTGTGCTGATTCTTTCCATGTCTTCCCTGCCACATTCAACATCTTGCATAAAAAAGTCCAGGGCCTCAACCTACCTATGCTATGCATGCATCTTCCAAACTCATTGTGGGGTCTTTCTGAAACACTGACAGCTGAATCACAACGTTGGATCATAATTTCTTTTCCACCAAAAAAAGACAATATTCTTGGTGGTTAACTTATCATAAAATATCTCTATTATAATTAATTAGTCTCTTAATTGAGGGTTCAGCTGAATTAAACATCCTAATTATTCAACCCTTTACTGGTTTTTTAAAGATTGAGGATAGAAAAAGCCGACTGTTAAGTCACCAAGTGGTATAAGGCAGATAAAGAGATATAATTTTACGTATCCAAAGACAGAGAGATAATTTTCTTTCCGTCACTTAATTTTTCTTTTGTCATAATCTTTCTTCAAACCATCTTTTACAACCAGAATTTTCATAACAACTATGAAATAACTTAGGGTTTAGTCGGTGTCCTTTAAAAGGATACAAGTTATGTCCTTTTAGTTTTTTATATTATGTATTATGAGTAATATATAATTGTAATATTAAAAAAAAATTCACTTTTCACATCAGCTGAAGCGATTGAGGAGAGAGAATAAAAAATAATTTTTTATATTATGTACTACTCATAATACAGTGTTAAAAATTAAAAAGATACAACTTATGTCCTTTAAAAAGACAAACTTTTTTTAAAAGCCAAAATAATAGAAACATAATGTAACGAGAGAAACTTCTGGAATCTGTATATATGTACTCTATGTTCACTTTTTAAGCTCAACCAAACTATTCAACTAGTTTGATTTGAGCTGAGTTTTTCCCCACCAAATTTTACCCGAACTCATAATTATTAGTTAAACTGGAACAATCAATTATGTTGGTTTAGCATCTAATATGAAATCTTGCCACTTTGCCTGGTATCTCTCAAATTACATCTGCCTATTATAAGATCAGTGTTATAATATTTATTAATTTTTTCCTACTTTTCTTCCAGTTTTTTTATCCCTGATCTGATACAATAATGGATATTTTGATAAACGCCCAAAAGATATTGATAATTTTTTATAAACTACAGCACATATGTCAGTAAAATTTAATATCACGAACGTAAACATGTTCATGGTTAGATCATGTAACCAAAGCGAAAAACTCGTGAAACAAACTCATATTTGCAAACCATTTCAATTTTAAAAATAATTTATATTTCAACTTTTTCGGTTCATGCACATATATATAAATAATTCAAACTAAACGTTTTGCGTTTTGCAATTTTGGAAAAGCCTAGAAATAAGGAGGAATTTCAGTCAAAATTCATATATGTAATGTATAATAAATAAGCTTCTCGAGTCAATCCAAAACCCCCCATCCTTATACTTTGCCCAAAAAAAACCTAAAGAAACATGCAATTACTAACCCACCACCGCTTTCCAATCAACACGACTATACAATCCCCTTCTTGACTTTGAAACCTCTACCCCTTATTTATTCCTGCAACAACCTCTTCCATTAGAATAATCCCACACTTACTTCTTCCTCCTCTTTTCACTCTCCCATTAATTCAGTGCTTGCAAACCCAAAACTTATCAGAAAGAAGAAGAAAAACTTATCAGAACCCATGAAAGCCCTAGCATTAAGAGCTTTCTGCCATCTCCAAAGGCAACGAGATTCCTAAATCCTAATTAAGTCAAGAACTATCACATACACAAGTTTTATCTTCTTCACACTCTAATGCAAAAGTAGGGTAAGCAAAAACTAGCTATAGCACAAGGAATGGCCGGCAGACATGGTACTTTTTCTTATTTACATTTTATTTTTACTTTCTTTTTCTTTTTCTCCTTTGACAGGCGATTCCTGTTGTGTATTTCTTCAATTTTTCATAAATATTTAATTATTGACTTTTTCTCTTTCATTTTATTATACTAAAATCTAGTATACGTGAATAATCTTTAATTCTACATGGTATCATGTTTCTTTAGGAGATGTTATATATATCTTTGACTGAAAACTAAAATAGATTTTTCATTATTATTTTTATATTTTATTTTTTGTTATTGCAATAGAATGGTGACAGACACATCCACAGAGAAGGGTAGGTGAAGAGGCCATATAACGTTGGCCTAGTGGATTCAGTTCAGACCAAAAAGCAAGAGCAACAAAAGGGCTGTTTCTCTTATTGATTTTTCTTTTGGTTGGCTGCTTTTGACATCTAGCTTCCAGTTCAGTAATTCTGCTACCACACTTCATCACCATCATGGCTTCCTCCAACAGACGACATTGGCCAAGCATGTTCAAGTCCAAGCCTAGCGACCCTCACCACCAATGGCAGCATGACATCAACTCGTCTTTCATGTCCACCGGTTGCCAAATAAGTCCTTACTCTCAAGGTTTGTAAAATTTAAAATTACATAAACCAAACTCAAACAGTTACCATATATATTAAAAAAATATAACATCATTTGAAACTCTTTTCAACACTGAATCCCAAAGGTCAGTTACCTAGACTAGCTAGGTCCTTATAATCGTTATACAAATTAATATTCACATTCTATTATATTAGTATCTTACAATTTAATTTTCATTGACATTAGCAATTTTCTCATAAACTTTATAGGCGGGGATGTTTTTTTATTGAATTATACATATATAAGTTTTCGTTATAAACCTCTTTTTTTTTTCTTGGTCTTAATTTATAGGTGCAGGAGGTGAAGAAAGAAGTCCAGTACCAAAGCCAAGATGGAACCCAAAACCTGAGCAAATTAGGATTCTTGAAGCCATATTTAACTCTGGGATGGTGAACCCACCAAGGGATGAGATAAGGAAGATCCGGTTACAGTTACAAGAGTATGGCAATGTGGGTGATGCCAATGTCTTCTACTGGTTCCAGAACCGTAAATCAAGGAGCAAGCAAAAGCTTCGCCACCTCCACAACTCAAAGAACAATAACCCAGAAGAACCCCAACAAAAACCTGCTTCTTCTTCTTCTTCTTCTCTCTCTCAAATCAAAGCACCTTCATCCTCATCCTCTTCCTCTGAGAAATCCTCTCCAAAAGAAATAACACCCTCCAAGGGATTTTCCATTGGATTATCAAACTTCAATGATGGGATGCCTCATTCTCCCACCCCTTCAGTGAACCAGGCTTATTTTCAGACCCACAATGACAAAACCAATTTGCTACCACCACCAACTGTGTCTTTCTCCTTCCCTGTGCACAATAATGGCCATGGAGTTGTTGTGGCTAATAATAATGCCATAACAACACAAGGGCTTTGCTTCTCTCAGTCCTCCAGTAGTATCATTCAAACTCAACCTCAACCTCAACCTCAAGTTCAACAAAATGTTGCTCCTTGTACTAGTGTGTTGCTTAGTGAGATCACTAACCATGGAACCTCCTCAAAGAAAGACCAAGATCAAGACAAGACCTTGAAGATAATGCACCGACATCCACAACTCACTTTTTCTCTCACTTCAACTGTTGTTCCTCCCATTACTGTTCCATCCGACATTACTCATCTTCAAGGTAATCATTCGATTTTACTAATATTTGGAAAATTTGTGATATGAATTTGGTTGTGTATAGCCTATAGAAATCTCCGTCATATAACATATGTTGTAATAATTTGAATGGAAGGAGGGTAATATGGTAATTGCAATGTTTGTTTGCATGGACGTGTGATGGGTTCATTGGTTTAGCTAGTGATGTTTTTTTCGACTTGCACATGAGAGGTGATTCGGTGTGTGTCAGGTGTTGGTGAGGAGGCAGCTGGTACGACGAAATCTACAGTGTTGATAAACAACGTCGCATTCGAGGTTGCGGTGGGACCCTTCAACGTGCGTGAGGCCTTTGGGGATGACGCTGTTCTCATCCACTCCTCCGGCCAACCTGTCCTCACCGACGAGTGGGGCGTCACCCTTCACTCACTCCAGCATGGCGCATGTTATTATCTGGTATATACTTAATGACATAACATTTTAATAATTATATAAAAATACATTTTTTATAAAAAAAAATAAAAATGAGTTTCTTAGTTTTTTAAAGTTATAAATTTATTTATTTATTTATTTTTGCAGATTTAATTAGGAGATGAAGCTGAAGGAGGAAAATTGGATTCAGATATGGTGTTTTCTCTCTTGTTTCTGTTTCTATATACCATGTAATGCTACATATATTAGGGTTAGGAATAGGATTCTGAGAGTGACTATGACTTATTGGCTCTAACGTTGTTGAAAATATGGAAATAATGTCATCGTGGAGACGTGGACCGGAATATATATATATAAGCCAACTATTTATAGTTTATGTTGATATGATATGCGATTCATTTATTATTGCCAACCCAAAAAAAAGTTATAATCGAAAAATGAAGTGAGATCATCATTCTCTCATTTTCTGCCAGCTTTTGCGTTGCACTTGTTAATATTTGAAGTTACCATTATTTCATGCTGCTTCTTTAGCTGCCACGATGATTCTTCTGCTTACAACTGCCACCTCACATAAAAAAAAACTGTGACTGGATTTCTGCGAGATATAATACAATATATAATAAAAAATTGTAGTCAAAAAACGGAAGAAATTTAATTTTTATATAGTCGGTGTATTTATGAGTCATCACCCTGCTTAAAAGGTTTTTTTCTTCTTATTTCATGGAAGAAACGATAAGGTTCATTTATTAATTTTCTTCTTTTTTATTATATTTCGGTCATGTAAGTTTCAAAATATAGTGTTTAACGATTGAGATGTTAATTGTACATTTGCTTTTAAATGATTTTTTTTTCATGATATGCCTACAAAATATTAAGTTATGACCAGTGCATCAAAATGACTTCGTCATAAACATGTGAGATAAAAGAATTTCAATTAAGGATAGTGGTTGTTGACGAGAGGTTACAGCCTCAGAGACACAGTAACAAATTGGGTTTACGTGTAGTTTGAAAAGAACAGTGTTTGCTTTCATGTTTGATGCCTCGATTTGACTGAGCGATTTGGATATATCAAGGAGACTTCTCTGCCAATTGAATTTCCATACAATTTCTTTTTGTGCTATGTCACACCCAAACATCCATTTTCATCTGCTTGAACCATCACGTATATGTACATATGATGATCACAATACAATCATGACTACAAAGATTTATTGCTGGCTACTTCTACGTACACTTGCAAACTTACATTATGTGAATGGTATTTTCTCTCAAACACGGACTCGTGATTTTTTTGCAAATTGTGCGTGTCAGATATGGACACGTTCTGACATGCGGTTAATATTGTGAGATACGCGATCAACGCTTCGACACGTTCTGACACATTTTTTTGACATGCAGTCAATTTTTTTCGACATGTGGTCAACGTTCGGACACTTTTTTTTTAGTCTTAATTTTATTTTATTAACTAAAAATAAAAAAAATCATTTATAAATCAATTTTTTTCTGTCATGAAATTTTAAATGAAAAATTAACAAGATACAAAAAATTATTTTTGTTTATATTTATGTTTTGAAATTTGAATATTTGATTGGTTATATGACTTATTATGGACTGTTATATCTGTTAAATATAAATTATATTATATATATTAAAAATATTATTTAATATCAAAACGTGTCGAAATATGCCATTTTTTAGAATTAACGTATCGACGTGTCGTGTCGTGTCCCGTGTCCCATGTCAGTGTCCGTGCATCATAGGGTATTGTCTTTCTCATTTAATTTCTCTTTTTCTCTTAATGTGACTCTTTTGATTACGTGATGCATGGTCGCTGGAGAGGAAGTATGATTGAGGAAACAGGAAGCGGGTTTTTTACCATACAAAATCAGTTTTACAAAAAAAAAAAAAAAAAATCGTTTTTTCATCAGTTAGTGCATATAATTTATCTGCAGTAAGTCCAATACGACGTCGTTTAATGTGGAAATCATGGTGTTTTTGTAATTTTAATTTATTTTAGAGTTATTATAGTATTTATAATTATAATTTTCTAATATTTCAATCCCAAAACGACATCGTTTTGGAAGTAAATGCAGATAACTTGTATGCAGTAACTACAGAAATATTTTTCTGAAAAATAAAATAATTATCAAAATAATTCAAAATCAAAAAATTTATTGTTACACACCGGAGAAATATATTGGTCATACAAATAAATAAGAAACGAGTAAAATATCTTTATCATGAGAATTAGTGTTTCAAATACTAGCTGATTATTTTTATTTAAGTTGGAGAATTCGAATAAGAGATTTAATTAAAAAATTAATTAATAACTAATAAAAACAACACAAAAATGCAATAACAAGAATTTTTACAATTAAGAAAAACTCTAATCTCCCTTTTATATTTTGAATCAAAACCTTAATTAATCGCCCATTTTATATTATCAATCAATTCATCTAATTTAGTCAAAACTCAATCCATTTGTATTCCAACCCTTTACTCCCTTTAGATAATCTTAATTCTTTGGTTTTTGCCAAAAGGATTTAAGCATAAAAATCAAGAATCATAAAAATGGCATAAGGATTGCATATTCATATGTCTATTCCTATATTCATATAAATCAAGATGAATTTATCAACCTCGATTCATAAACCAATATTCCTATTGGCATACATGAACCTTAAATAAGTCTACAAGAAGATTGACTCATAGAAGCATGAAGAACAGGTAAATTCATTCAATACAAAAATGGAAATTGCATTAAAAATTAATTTAGAAACATAACGATTTAATTGGGTTCCATCTAGCCCTAATTACAAAAACAATTTAGCTACTTATGGCAAAAACAAAAGACAAAAGAAATCATGAAGGTTTCCCCAAACTCCATCGCAGTATGAGAATGTGGTGAATCTTTACGAATTCCAGCTTGATCTCCCTTGGTGAAAATCTACTTTAGAAAGTCATGAAAGTAATATTTATAAAGATGCCAACACTGAGGAATTAGGATTGAGATTTTCTGTTTTGGAGCAATCAGGTGTCAAATCTTCTGAATGATATTTTATTTATTTTTTCCATCAATCATAATATTTGTGGTTCCATATCTTCACAATTATCTAAAACATCAAAAAGCATAAAAATTAACTTAATTAAACATAAAAAGGTAACTTAATAACAATTCATCTAATAACTTCAATATTAACAATTTAAGACATTAAATTTATATTTTGGTCCTTAAATTAAGAGTTTTAAGACTCCATTTTACATTCAAAATATTATAAATTTAAGATTTATCATTTACCAAGACAATGCACTTAAACGCACATTTAGAGGGTGCGTTCTCAAGTCGCGCATGGGGTATGAGAGTGTTTCGCATTGGACCAATCTGAGTTTGCTAAGTGGTACAAACGAAATTAGCCACGATTATTTTGCCAGAATTTAAATGTGGCTAATTTTAATATAAAAAGTCATCCATTCCACATGTTGAGTGGTTGCGCATGATGTGGGTGCAAGTCTAGCCATGCATGACTCAATAAAAAGTCACCCATAGTTATATCAATCATGGCCAATTTGTCCATTGCCCAAACACGCCCCTACCCCATGCACAACTTGAATGTCCACCCTTTAAATACGAGATTCGTTTTTTCTGCGAGTTAACTGTAGTAAGTCTAATACGACGTCATTTTGGGATAAAAATTATGGTATTTTTGTAATTTTAATTTATTTCAGGGTTATGATAGTCTTTATATTTATAATTTTTTAAGATTTCAATACCAAAACAACGTCGTTTTGAAAAAAATGTAGATAACTTATATGCAGTAACTGCAGAAATATTTTTTCTTAATTACGCTTTCAAGCGCAATATTTTGGTAAATTTTTTCGGTTCTGAAATTTTTATTTTTATTTTTGAAAATTCCCTTTTATATAATGAAAAAGCGATAGGAAGCATGTGTATGTCGGAAGTTTTGTTCGTCAGAGTTTCTGTCGAAAAAACATTAACAACTTTATTTATTTATTTGGTAACGAACAACTTTATTTTTATTTCTTATTTATTGGCTTTTTATTACTTATAAACATTTAATCATGAAGATAAAAAGAAGGGTTATAAATTTTAAATCCATGTTGTAAAGCTGCTGAGAAGGTGATTTTTTTCTTATTTAATTTATATTTTTCAAATTTAAGAGTGCGCTTTGAAAAGTAAATTATGAATAATAATTGTTGATGAGAAAATTTAGATTCATAATAATTTTGTTCATATTTATAATTTATTATTTCCAATATATATAAATATATATTAGACTGGTTATATTCACCACAGATTATATTTAGAGTAAATAACATTTTTGGTCTCTAACAAAAAACACGGCCCCTACTTTAGTCTCTTACCAAAAAAATTGGTCTCGAGGTCCCTAACAAATTCAAAGTGAACTCATTTAGTTGAAATCGTGGTCCCTTATAATTTCAAAAAAGACCCATATTAATCCCTCAAAAAGACTAAAATAGGTCCACTTTGAATTTCATAGGGACCGACTGACTAATTTTTTTTGTAAAGGACTAAAGTGGGGACCGTATTTTTTATTAGGGACCCAAAAGGATATTTATTCTTACATTTATTATCTTATTATTAATTGTATTACTCTCACATCAAATTTAGATCAATATTTCTCATTGCTTTATAATTGAGAAAAATCGATTGAAATTGATTGATGATAATAAAAATAATAATAAAAGATAATAAAGTATAATTGGATTTTATATATTTATATAATTTGTCAAGGACTCTTTTGCCTTGGAAAATTATACAATTACCTCATGGGAATTAGTTGCACCAACCAATAATATAAATACTATGTTGTGTTAGCTTTACTTACCTCAATTAACTGATTTTAAATTATATATATATATATATATATATATATATATATATATATATATATATATAAGGGTTAGGATATGGCAAAAAAATTAATATATTGTATTTTAAATAAAAAATTATGAATTTATTACCGTTCTGAAAATAATTACGCATTTATTGCATAATGTCACGCCTAAGTTAGGCGTCACCCATGTGGTGTTGACACATGTCACAAAAAATTAACATTTTAACCGTAAAACTTATAAAGGCCATAACTTTTGATTCGGGTATCCAAATCAGG